ATATTACTGTTCACAGTAGGCTTGTCCCTCCCAAATCAAATATTAATCAAGAAGATACCTTAGCAGACTTGTCTAGAGGATATTCAATGGAGGCAATTCCTGAACAAAGATTCCATCTCCTAGGATGACACGTTTGTGTCAAGTTGGCAAGATACTAACCAGAACATACAGCTTAGTGACATGCTACATTATTTTAAATTGACCAAACTACATAGTTCAGCAGAAAATGAATGCATGCAAAGCTAGGAGAAGACACCATGAATATCTCCATATTCCAGGGACCTGGAATAGATTCGAGCATGCAGAAAACTAAATGTAAGGATTTACCCAAATCAGGAATCATCAGAAGTACTCCAGATAAATGCTAATGAAAACAAATTAGATGCAATTATGAGTTGTAGGATGAAAGGGTTTTCATGATATAGAGTTCCAACAGCAATTTGGATTATCTTCTGAAGGATACTCCATAAAAATTGGACTGGAGTGATGACAGCTAATTCTACTTACTGTAAAACAATGAAAAAGTGAATATGAGTACAGAATTTTGCGTTTGATGAAGTCAAAAATCAAAAATAAAATAATTGAAAAAGGAGAGAAAACAACAAGCTATAAAGTCATAAGACTCTTGTTATATTTTCATAAATTAAGAAAACAATATCTGATATTTTTTGAGTCTTACAGAGCTTCTGAGCTGTATAAAACACTGTTGACAATTAACACTTTTTAGAAGTGATTCAGTGTATACAAGAGGAATATGAAGACAATTTCATGAAATACAGAATCACAGAAGTCTTGAGTTGGATAAAACATCCAATCTGTTATAATATTTTTGGAATTCTGAACATTGATATTGAATTAGCAGATATAGGCCAAGACATACTGATACAAATAAAGAAATACACCTGGCGGTGGTGGCACACGCCTTTAATCCCAGCACTCGGGAGGCAGAGCCAGGCGGATCTCTGTGAGTTCGAGGCCAGCCTGGGCTACCAAGTGAGTTCCAGGAAAAGGCGCAAAGCTGCACAGAGAAACCCTGTCTCGAAAAACCAAAAAAAAAAAAATAATAATAATAAAATAAAATAAAATAAATAAATAATAAAAAATAAAGAAAGAAAGAAAAAAAATAAAGAAATACTGTAAAAGTTGCTTAATGCTTTGCCTAGTGCCTCCTCAGATAGTTAGTTAAAATGATTTTCTACCAGCTGATGGTGTAGTGTGAAAATATTTGTACAGTGGTCATGACTGTTAGAGACTCAAAAAGCTTGCTATAGCTTGTGACTCGATGACAAGTAAACAGATAATCTTGTGAAAATAAAGTCTTTAACTTTTATGTCCTTTTCTGTAAATGTCAGTGATAATAGTAAAGACTTACAATGAAGTGCTGTGGATACTGAGGTAACACAAGCCCTTACCAAATTCCTTACTACCTTCATTACCAAAAAGTAGATTATCAGAGCAATACTTATGGAATTAAATAATAGCGATAATTTTTAAATTACTGCTGGGTATGGTGATTCCCTTTAATCCCAGCACTAGAGAGGCAGAGGCAGGTTGATGTCTATGAGTTGGAAGCCAGCCTGGTGAATATATTGTTTTTCAGGCCATTTAGGACTACACAGTGAAATTTTATATCAGTTATGTAGTTTTGTCTGTTTGTAGAGCTCCTAGCAGTGGGATCAGGACCTGTCCCTGATGCTTGAGCTGGCTTTTGGTAACCCACTCTCCGTGTTGGATTGCCTTGTCCAACTTTAATGCAGGGGGAGAAGCTTGATTTCTGCCTCAACTTGATGTACCAAGCTTTGTTGACTCCCATGGGAGGCCTGCTGCTTTCTGAATGGAGACAGAGGAGGAGTGGATGGAGTAGAGAAAGGAGGAGCAATGGAGGGTATGGGAGGAGAGGAGAAAGGGGAAACTGTGGTCAGTATGTAAAATAAATGAAAAAACATTAATAACAAAGAAAAATCTGTTGTATTCATAAATGCTTTAACAATATCAAAGTGTTATTGTAACTATACGAAAAACAGGGTCAAATTTGTTACCTGAGATGGAATATATTATCTTTCTTTTGTTTTCTTCTCTCACTTTCCCATCCAGCTCTCTTTTCCTTTTTTCTTTATTCCTTTCAGTCTACATGAAACTAAAGTATCATTGACACTGGCAAATAATTTTGAAGAGTAAATAAATAGTTTCATTTTACTTTTCAGTTATGTCTTCAATGAATTCTATGCAGACTGAATTCAATGATATACAATAATATACATTTAGTTTTCACTCCTAGCCATGCAGATTAGCTGCAAAAGCTCTTTTCTCAGGCTGCTGTGTTGACTTGGTCTGTTATACATACATGTCTAGTGCTGTGTTTCCTAAGAATGACCAGGAAGATTAGCATTCCAAATAAACAACAAAACTTTAAATATGTCATGACTTCTTGTACTAGTTGCCTAAACTAATTCAGAATATGAGTACAACACTTATAGAATATGAAAACATGTACTACAAATAAAAGTCTGGTATAGATGAACATGTGCAATCACAGATGTCATCCATCAAAGTCACATAGGTAAATCTCAATAAATTAGTTATCTTTGTACTAGTCTTGCAATTGACATTAACATTTCCACATATGTGAATTAACATCTTCTGCTTGTTTCCACATTTTAGTTAGAGGCATAAGTCTACCTAGTTGCCCAAGCTGTTCTTAAAACGATGATCCATCATGAATTAGCCTTCTGACTCCCTGGGATTATGAGGTTGCATCATTACACCTGGCTTATTTCACACATTCTGCAGTGGTGGCTTAGAGTTAAAGTAAGAACACATTTTTTGTTAAGCTGCTGTGAAAAATGGAGATCATTAGCTTCATTAGTTTCATTACTTTTGCTGTGATAAAACACCATGACAAAGACAGTTTATAGAAGGAAGGGTTCATTTTGTGCTCATGATTCCAGAGGATTAAGGTCCGTAATGGCAGGCACGGCAGGGAAGCAGGTAGCACACATGAAGGCTAGAGGCTGAAAGGACACCTGAGTATTTACACCTTAAGCTGCAACCAGGAAGCTGAGAGAAGATATGAAAAATGATGGTAAGTTTTTTGAAATGCTTAATCCTGCATCCAGTGACATACTTCCTTCAGCATGGCTACATTTCCTAATCTTTCTCAAATAGCCAACAACAGGGCATCACATATTCAAATGCAGAGACTGATGAAGGAAGTCTTGTTCAAACGACCACATTAGATTGTTCTGCCATCAAAATATTATGTATTATTTTAACTGTGGTGATGAGAAATGGCTTCACATAACTACCATATGAAGATATTTCTGTAGACTTTAAGATTAAATTGATTTCATGGTAAAAAAACAATATGTATATTTTAAAATTTACATTTAAGAATATAGATTTAATCATATGGTTAGACTCTTATCACTGATCTTCTCGCATTTAAGTTAAAGTTTATAATTAAAAAATATTGCGGGTATTGAGTTTTTAAAAGCCCAACAATTTAATTACACTATTTACTGTCTTCTCTGTCATGGAATTTCTTCATAATATGATAAATTCTTACAGCATTTTTGGAAAAATAATCAGATTTCAAGAAGTACAAATATAAATGTGCCAGATGTTTATAATGATACATTATTTTCTAATTTTCAATATTCTTAAAGTATTAATATTAATTTATGAAAGATTTAGATTCTGATTGTATCCCATGGAATTGTAGAATGCTCTACATGAAATGATTTCTCTTATACTAGAACAATCTGGAATGTAATATTAATCTGCATGTTAGTTTGACCTAAAGTGATGACTTGATATTCTTAGTTGTATTTTATCTAGGTGGTTATTTTTCATACACACACACACACACACACACACACAGAGGATACTTCTATTCATATTGTTTTATTTTTTCCTAAGGAAATGACTGCTTTTCCAATTATCTTCTAAATTTAAAAAGATTTCACATTGTCACTCTACAAATGTTCTTTACAAGTGATTTTATCAGTTTTACCAACCTTTGTGTAAAATTAATGTTAATCTCCGTTTCCTAAAATACATCTAAATGCATATAATTTTCCTAAATTTCTTTATGTCAGTGAGAATACAGGTTTATGACTCTTTATTTATATATACATTGGAATTGACATGAAAACTTAGAGCTAGATGATATATGCATAATATTTCTCTATTTTCACACTGAATTTCGTATATGGTCCCACTAACTTGTCTATCTGGCCTTTAATTTATAATACCAGTGTCTTAGTTTCCTTAGTTCCTGGGCTTACAAATTCATATTACTACATCTTGTTTGTTTCAAACATTTTCAAAAGATTATTATATTTGTTTTCTTTTCAGTGATATGTAGATGTCATAATCTATATAATGCCTTGGTTCAGAAGCTTTCATCTCTTATGAGTTTGAGGTATCACTATACCTTTTGTTTCAGGAAAGTAAAATCTCTAGTGTTTAAAGGTATATTTCTCACAATTTATTTAATTGTGAATTTTCTCCTATACTGTACAAAGAATTTAAAAATTTAACTGTGATGTATTTAAGAATTCCTAATATTGTGTGATGAGACTTCAGTGCCAAAGTACATTAATGATTTAACATTTGTAATGTATATGTTAATCATTTATATTATAGCAGCTAAGTGAGAAGGAGGATGAGGACAAAGTGAGAGACAGAGGGGAGATAGAGAAGAAAGAAAGGGCAGGGCATAATTGAGAAAAATTAAAGCTAAGGTAAGTTCAAATACAAGTGTATTGCACTCTGAAAATTTGCTTTTTCATTACAGAGTGACTTATTGAGATTCATAATTCCCTCTAATTGATCCCTAGTTATGATGCTTGATATATTTAAAGAGATTTCAGAAAGAACTAATCGTATATATATATATATATATATATATATATATATATATATATGGTTAGGTCTTCAGGTGTAATACTGTCTTTGGTAGAGCAGAATGGGTCTCTTTTTAACCTCTTACAGAAATTTAAGAAGTCAAATGGGGCACTAATGTTGGTGTACAGATATCAAAACAGGGTTAATATCAAATGCAGTCCTGAAGAATTCTGACATAGAAGCCATGCCCAGATGAGCAACATACCTGCAGAGCAGCACAGCTGTACTGCTTACTTCAACCATATTAATAATGCATTAACTTTCTGAAATAAGAAGGATCATTCACTAATCAAAGCCAGCAATATCACAATAAACTGTGAGTATAAAGGGACATCACTGACAACTGGATTTGATATAAAATACTCAGGGGAGACTTCCTAACCTTTAATATCTTACAAGCTTTTAGTATATAATTTTATTTACAGATTATTTGCTGAACGATTTTATTCTGTGTTGTATCCTGAATAAATTTGTGTAAGATCAAAAGGATCATACTATATACATTTTGTTATGGACAAGATTTACCCTGAAAATGTAAGGATATTCAAATTGTGTAATTTTTTTATACTTAGTGCAATGATATATTTATATGTATTATGAGGGAATTGGATAAAACACACAAAAGAGTGCAAATAAAATTGAAATTTCAGTATAATGGGCAATATTACAACTTCTGTATATTATGTAACTTTTTTCTTTCGAGCTAGGTCATTTATAGCTTGTGAATTAAAAATTACCCTGTAATTTCACAGTATATATGGCATGGGGGCAGTGGGAAAGCAAGGGAGCAAGAGATGATCCCCCGTTCTCCCTTTTTGACCTTGTCTTCCTTTCTCTGTTAAGTTTGTCTTTCTTGGTTATTATAATACCACAAAGAGGAGAGAGAGGTCCATTCTCCACTGATGGCTAATCCCAACCAACCATAGCTGATTCTGTGCCTGAGCCCAGTATGTGGATCCTGTACTCATACCAGAAGGAACACATGGACCTCTTAGGGTGAGTGGTGGAGAGTAAATCACCAGAAGGGAGGTAAGCCAACTCCATGAAAATCTAGACTCCCTTAATCCTGGTGGTCTCCACACTCTGGAGGAGGGATGACTGCTCTTAGAGAAATGTCTGCTTACTGATACATTCTTTCACTTTGTTCTGAGCTTTTAGTTCTGCAATGGTCTTAGAAAAAGAGCCTGCCTGCTGGCTGCTATCAATTCCATGTCAAGAGCAATGCCTCTTCTAACAGAGCCCATGTTACAGCTCCTTAGTCTCTTCCCCTAAACTTCACCTGCTGTCATCTAATCACAACAATGGCAGTATTTGGAAGTAGTGAGCATAAAGCTTTGAAGCATTGTATGAGAGCTTCATGAATCAAGAGGTATACTTATGTTGCTATAAGTAATCCCAAAGTAACCCTTTGGTTAGCTGAGCTAGACTTTGGGGGAATCATTTATTCAGTTACATGTGGTCTGTCTGAGATAAATAGAAAAAATGTTTGTTCACACCATTCCAGGGAAAACAAGTGACATGACAAATGTGAAGAATATCATTATCTGACTCTACTTCATGGGAGTTGTGTGTATGTGAATGCATATGTATGTAGATATGACACTGGAGATTATATCGAAATCCTATTGCATCCTAGTCCAGTACTGTACCACTGATGTATAGTCCCAGAAATTCATGATAACTTTGATTGACTATTAGGCATTTCATTAATTTCTTCTATTCAATGGCTATAATGAAAATATTACTCATGCTGGATTTTCTTTATTTTTGCAGCACAGGCCCTGTAGGAAATGGACACATTAAACAAAGATGTTAACTGACCCAAAACTTACCTGTGGTAAAATAGAAATATAACTAGTTATCATTGCAAGTCATAGAGTTTTGGAGATTGCTTGCAATGACAGGATAACTTAGTCGAAGTTTGCGGACAAAAAGTAACATTAGTGTGAGGTGTTGTTCTGATAATTAAAATAATTTTAGTTTTTATCATCTCTCAAATTCAGCAATTTTATGTGATTTTCCTTTGGTTTATTGTTTACATAGATTGGTTTAGCAGTTATATTTATTTGAAAACTAGGAAAGCTAGATGAGTAGATGGATTTTTACTAGCATGAGCCAGCAATGTGATGGTTTGTATTATACAGTAATATACAGCATTACTACTCATTTCCTATGTATCAAGTAAGTGCTTTGTGTTGATTAAATTGTTTTCACAGATGACTTTCCTACACTGTAGAGCCATTTATTTACCTCTGTGAGTGAAGACACTAAAATAAACAGTGTGTAAGTAAATGATATAGAGAGATTCATGGGTGGTACCATAGCACTCACACTTAGTCATCAAATTCTAAATATGATGCATGGAATAAATATGGAGACAAATCATACGGGGATTACATGGCTCCTACACTAAGGTCAGAAGCTTGACACAGTCATCAGAGAAAAGTAGTATGGCTGTGGGGAACTATGTGATATCAACTTGACAGATGTGAGAGTCAGGCACTGTGACGCTGCAGCAAACAGACCTGGAAACAGTCCAGATCTCAAGTGGCACAGTTCCAAATTAAAATGAACATGGAAAGAACTAAAGTGCCTTGCAAGTTCCTCAACCGTGACTTGTTTACAATGAAAATTTAAATCTGCAAGACAAATGCATATATTTTCCGTACTAACTAATTGTTCATAAATTGGTTCACTTTAAAAGAAACTATTGGTGAAATAATTAAGGCCACTCCACATAGTTATTTGGTGGGTAACTTACAAATGAAGGGATAGGTAGGTCACGGGATCTGGGGAAGGTGCATCGCAGTCCCGCGGTGTTCTCTGGAGCTCTGCTCGGTCAACCTCCACTGTCTAGGGTCCAGCAACAGAGAGCACGCTGACCCATCCAGATCTCGGGTCTCTTGATGCCTCCCTTGGCCCCGCCTTGTAGGCATGACAGTTGCCAAAGCCTCAATGGGGATTGGAACTTCCAGATCAAAGCTGGAATGGCTACCCACTACATCTCCCCCTTTTTGTCTAAATAAGAAGGTTCTAACCTAATACAAGACTATATACAAAGGAATGGTTATCAAATATTGTCCAGGAATAATGAAGGATAATGACCTAGATAAGATAGAACTACAACCAATGCGAACAATATCAAGCAAGAAATACATACTAAAATCCAGAGAAATATAGAGCATAGGTAAATGGCATGTTACAAAGATCATTCCAAAAGGTGTCCTATCCTAAAGAACCTGAATCTAATACTTAATATGTTCTATCTAATATTATATATATATATATATATATATATATAAAGTTGTATCTATAACTGTTAGTCTTCAATCACATCAAAGACCTGAGAAGGAATATAATGGTACTTGAGAAATGGTAGATGGATGCAAGCAACTGTTGGGAATCTTGTAAGAGTAGACTGAGACAGCCGGCAGCCTGGACAGTCACCTAATGTTTCTCAGCATTGTTGGTGCATTTAAATTGGCTATAGGCCTAGAGTATCTGACAGACCATTTTTAGAAGCAGGAATTCTGAAAGACCATCTTACCCTGTCTTGTCAGAGTAGAGTGGTCGCTTTCTTTCTGTCCTGCTTGTCCAGAAAGGACAGCATTGCATTCATACTGTCAGCAGTTGAGGCAAGGGCAGTTCTTTGCACAGTAGGCCATTTTTGTGCCAAGAAGACAAACTTCCAAATGGAAATGTCTTAGAAGCCCAACATTCTCTTGGGATCAAATTGGCACAGCCAGGAGCAATTGTGTCTCATGTTAACAGAATTCTAGGTTATTTAAATGTCATATTCTGTAGATCTATGAAGTGTTTGAGGATTACCTGTCCATCTGAGATATGTATCTGTAAAACTGGATAACCTAACTAACATAACTATAGAGATGACAAGCATAAATGACTATATATCTATAAGTCTTATCTACTGAAATAACCTAAGGACTAAGGCTTTATGTAAACAAGGTCAACAGACTATAAGCAAATATATGGTAAAGAACGATGACCTCAAAATTGTGACAATACACAAGATATTTATAACAGAGGTAGAAATATATAGTGTAATATGCAATATGACAACAATCTTAAATATATATCAATATACCGAATATCATAAACAGAAGTAGAACATACATACAGTATGACAGATATAAATTTACATTTGTATCAATATACAAATATTTCAAATAAGAGTATAAATATATGTACAGTATAACAAATATAGTTCTGTATTTGTATCAATATACAAATTATCTTAAACAGGAAAATAAAAATAGTTTATATTTGTATCAACATATAAGAATCCATAACTGTAAATTACAGTGCAAATTATCTAAGGCTGCTATTTTACTAAAATTGTTTACTAGTATATACAATAATCTACCATAATATCTTGTACCTATCCATTCCATTTCTTCTTTTCCCTTTTTTTAGAATCCTGAGTCTAATATTTTCTTCCACCCCAACCCTATAACCATTATCCATAACCCTGAGAATTATGAAACCTAAGGGAGAAGGGGCGTCGTTTCTTAGAATTGCTTCCTGCCGTTTAGGGGGTGATATTATCTCTGTTGGGTACTGTGAGAAAGCTCAGACAGTTAAATCTCAGTTAGACTAACTGTAGGTTCTGCAGAAAGTCTTAGAGCAATGGGTAAGACTGTCTGAAATTCTGGCAAGAAGTGTAGAATGATGATGATTGCCATGGCATCATTATGGATTGGGTAGAGTTGTTGTTGTTGGGGCCCCATCTTCCTTCTGGAGACTTCCGAGATTGCCATTGGAAAAACTTATTTGTTATCAAAATGGAAAGTTTGGATTTAAAGAGGATATAGCATGTAAGAAAGAATTCTGAGAAATCATGAGTAAGCAGGGAGAGAATTAGAATCTTGAAGACAATGGTCCCTTTTTATTGGTTTCCTTCTGTCCCACACCAGAGGACTCTTCTGATACGGGACTGAAGAATCTATCAACCTTTTCTTTTAGCAATATGCTTGGGTTTAGAGAAGGAGTGAGCCAATTCCATCTCCAAAGCCAGCTTGGCTTATAATTGAATTGGAACCACTACTTTTCTAGATTGATAGAGAGACAGATGGTAGACAGTGAGATTTTACTGTGTGTAGACTGGTACCAATAGATTCTTTTTTCTGCAATAAACATCCGGATATCCAAGGCCTTATGATTTTTGGAAGATGGTTATTTCCATTATCCTGGAAAGACAAACATAGAACCCTACCCTAACCTTTGATTGTTAAATTTTTCTTACAACTTGTAGAGATGTCACATTGGTGGATGATCTTTTATTTGTCCTCATCAAGGGGTTTTTCCTGTTCAATGGAATTTTTATTAATTTTGTTGGTATTCACAGCTTTTCTTCTCCTGCAGAAACAAAGGCAAAACCCCTTCCCCAATGTAGAACATATCCAGGTTTCCATTCTGAGGTCAGCACATCCTTGAAATAAACCGGTTTGTTTAGCTCAGGAATTTTTTCTGTCATCCAATGTCTCTCCACAGCTGCTGTTCCTTTCTCATCAGCATTGAGAAAATTCAAGGTTAATAAAGCACTATGCAATCTATTTCTAGGAGACATTGTTACCTGTTGCTGTTTATTTAGCATATCCTTTAAAGTTCAATTCTATAATTGCTTGGCTGGTGGGATTGTGTGGTATACCTGTAACATGCTTTATATTGTAATAAGCAAAGAATTGTCTCATTTTATTGGAGACATATGCTGAGGCATTGTCTGTCTTAATTTGTACAGGTATTCCCATGATGGCCATAACTTCTAATAGGTTTGTAATCACAGAATCAGCCTTTTCAGAACTCATAGGAGTTGCCCATTAAAATCCTGAATAGGTGTCAATGGTATGATGTATAAACTTTAATCTTCCAAATTCTGCAAAATGAAACATCCATCTGCTAAATTTCATTTCTTTGTATACCTTTTAGATTGCTACCTGCAGGTAATGGAGTTTGGTTATAGACAGAAAAAGTAGGGC